ATATAATTTAAGATTTGAGTTGATTAAATAGTATAAACTATTAATCAAAGAAAACTATAACTAAAATAAAGATAAAGATAAAATATGAAAGCTAAATAACTAAACAAATAAAAATGTATGACTTATTTATAATAGAGATCATCTATTCTAAAAAATAATAAAAGAAATAAAATAAAAAGTGTGACTTATTTATAGTAAAGATCATCTACTCTTAAAATAATATCAAATAAATCAAAAATCAATATAACATTAATTCAAAAATTCAAATCAACTTTGTATAGTCAAAGAAATAAAACCAAGTGAAAGAAAGGGTACTAATATAAAAATTATATTTTCCAAATAATTCTTTTTAAGAAAGGATACTAGTATAATTTAAATTTATATATTCCAAATAATTCTTTCAAAAACTGTTTATTTCAACTAAAATAGCAGATCCTTTTATATATTTTTCAGATACAAAATTATTATAATATTACTAGCTAATATTATCTAATATACAATATGTAATTAAAGTATTATAATATAAATAAATATGAATAGATTACATTGAAATACATTAAAAAATGTCAAAGAACATTAAAAAATATCAGAGTATGTGAAAGAATGTTAAAAAATGTAAAAGAACATGAGAAGACATAGAAAGATGTGAAAGAACATGAAAGAATATTAAAAAATATCAAAGAATGTGAAAAAATATTTGAGATCATCATCCAAATATAATTATTTCACCAAAATTAAAAATAATCTTCCATTATATTATTTTACTATGTACATGAATATCATATTACAAGATAATAAAAATGTAAATCCTGAATATTAAATAATATATAATGTTAAAAATAGAAATGTGATAATAAATATAATAATAAATGATATAGAAAATAGAGATAATTATAAAATAAATAAAATTATAATAAAATATAATTTTTCATAACTAGGAAAAAATTAAGAAATTAAGGAATTTTATGTCACTACGATAATAATACTCATAAGTATTGATATTAGAAAACCTTTAGAATAATTATAATTCTCTTTACCTTTATAAATAATTCAGTTTTCATTCTTAAAACTTATTATAAACTATATTCATGATAAAATCTATCTTTCAGAATATAATTTGTAATAATAACAATATCAAGATTATTAATATAATTTGCAAAATTATCATTGTTATTGATATAGAAATAAAAAAAGAATGAATCATAAAGATTGTAAATTATGCTTCATTAATAATGAAAAAGAGAAGTTTATACAAAGAAATGAAAATCAAACTTTACTTACTCCAAGATTCCACAGAATTCTTAGTGCATGTACTAGTTCATGATGATTCTTCCAACTGATTGGAAGCTGAAAAGTATTAATGAGAAACATCTGATAAGTCTTTGAGACAGGTAAATCCATTTCCCATACTTGTACATTTAGTTCTATTTACAAAAGAGATAATTTGTTTAATAAATACAAAAATAAAGACTTAGAACTCACCAATTAACTTATCATGCATATGAAAAAACCAGGTACGCAGACGCCTCATAATTTCGTAGTCACCACGATTAAACCTTGTAAATATATCATTAAGGAGGTCACGACTGCCCAAATATCCCTTCACGTGATCCTTCAGATAGTGAGGCATATCAAAGGTCAAATAGCCACCGGATAACTCTATCATGCCTAATTCAGGTCCTCTCTCACCAGGGGACTGGAAAAAACCATCGACCTTCATACCTAAGGGTTTGTCATCTGTAGGTTTGAGATCACGTAATAATCGCTGGTTTGCACTAGCTTTAAGACATATCTCATCTCTATATTTGAAAAGAAACTTGCATTTTAATGTTGCAAAGAAAAAATGAATAAAAATCGAATGTAGATTTGATATTAGAATCGAAAAACATACGGTACGTATATAGGATGACCAGTTACTGCATTTGCAAGATACTGTAACACCGGATGAATCATGAGTGAGCCCAAAATTGCTTCATTTTTATTCGTACTGTGAAAAGTTGACGCAATGTTGAATACATTTTTTGCACTTTCAAATTAAAATAAGTTAATAAATAGGAGATAATAAATAAATGGTACTATCTCTGCAAAAACCAATATACTTACAACCACATAAGGACATCCGTTACAAATTCCATTTCCTTATCGTCTTCATCGAATTTGGCTTTACGAAGACATTGTTTATACTCCATTAATGAGTTCTGTTATTAATTAACAAATGTAAATAACATTTTCATTAAAAATAAAGGTTAATTTGTACTTACAGTCTCTAACAGTACAGTAAAGAGATTTTCCACATCAGAAGACAAATTATAATTTGGATATTCAAGTAAATAATCCCAGTCATTTTGTTCAATCCATTCTGGTTTACAAACTTTTGCACCAATGCGTATAATACCTAGACATGACAGGCTATATGTATATAAATGGACAAAATTACAGGTTAGATTGGAAAGAGTGTTAGATAAAAAGGCATAAAGAGAAGAAATGATAAATATGAAACTTACTGAGATTTATGTAGATTTTCAGATTACGGATTACTTCTTTAATCGATTTTCCGGAAGGCAATAACCAAATATCGTTTTGGCTGTCTTTGTTGGGATACCTTAAGTATTCTTTAAAAGATATTTTCTCATATAACTCGGATTCTGTAGATGTGATGTTTGGATATATATTGAGTGCCTCAATGTCATCAAGATCTGCTATATCATCTGGATCTATCTCTGATTTGTCATCGAAAACAGGCTTCTCCATATTCTATATATAAAGAATGGTGTTTAATATATTAGAAAACTAGAAATTAATTTTTTGTTCCTTTAGTAAATTCAAATTACGAATATTACCAATCGTTTTCTTGGGCGTTCCTCTCTGTGATCTGTTCTGTATTCTGATAAGTGTTTTGTAAGTGTAGTTCGTACAACTTGATCTCGTATCATTGCATTTTTTAAGATCTCGTTATGCTGTTCTTCCTGCAAAAGGAGCAAAACAAATAAGTTTACTTCCATGGTTCTGTACATCTCGTCACACGAACAGAACTAAAGCTAGCATACCACCAGGATATTACGTTCAATAACATGTTTTTGAATCATCTTATCGTTCCGGTTTGATTGTTTTAGATCCTTAGTCCAGTTCTTGGCAAAGAAAAAAGACAATTAATATAGTTCCCGAAGATTAATGAGGTTGAGGGGAGGTGTCGAACCTTGCGTTCATGACCGGTCGACCTAGCGTGTCCCAGCTTGCCACCGAATGCAGTTGAGATAGGTACGAACCTTGCGTTCATGACCAGTCGACCTAGCGTGTCCCAGCTTGACCATATCTCAACTGTCGAGATAGGCACGAACCTTGCGTTCATGACCGGTCGACCTAGCTTGGCCATATCTCGACGCCTTCTTTAGTCTCACAAAACGAGACTTTATCCCCCTCAAAACTCACTGCTAGCTCATCACATTCACTACAAACGTACCTTCCGGTCATCAATAATAGACCGAGCTGTTCTTCCTCGCAATGTATCAGAGTCAACTTGTTTAATCCGTTTGAGCTCTGAGTTGATATCGTAAAGAATTCTTTTAAGAGTTGCACATTGCGAAACATTTTCCCAGTAGTAGTTGACAACGTTTTCACATCTCCATTCAGAAACATTTATTTTGCCAAAGAAATCCTTAAGTGATGACGCTGACATGTCTTCTTAAAAAACGTCTAAATTCACTTTCTATAGGACCAGAAAATCTTGAATATATGCATATGTCCGTTATTTCCATCATAATCAACCAATCAACAGTTAAATAATAACCGCGCGTAAAATTACATCAAGCGCGTAAGTATTTTATTTAGTGTAACACTAACGCTTCTCTAATCTATTTTTCATTGATATAAGTAAAAATGAATGAACAAAGTATAAATGATTGAATAGATCACGTTTAAAGGGAGGAATAAAGCATGAAAGACCATGCCCACCGGCTCCTGGGCCCCTCGCAAAGTGAGAATAACGGTTCCATCTCACTACTCACTATTGTTTTGCTATCGAACCAAAAACCTATTTTTATCTAAGTTACTATCTGATTTTATGATAATAATTTTTGATCGAATCTTTACCAATTTTTCCCACCCCAAGAGTAACATTACATATATCATCCTGTCTTCTCGCATGGAAGATGCTTCGGATTGATTTGCATCCTCGATAGGTTCAATTCTTATCTCTGGAAAAATATCACTTCATGCCTGGACAACAGTATAATATCGATTGATTTTGTTTTGGAGCGTTAAGATACCTCCATTAATTAATTCGAATTCGGTTGCAACTCTGTCAAAATTGTTATGGTAGTTTTGAAGGACTCGTTCGATCTCATCAAGTTTTGCAGTAGAAGTATTAAGAATTATAAAGATTCTTTGGATCTCTGCTATAATTTTTCCATCACGTGAAGTAAGTTCAGCGTTAAATTTGACATGGATTGATTGGTGATCTAAAATTTAATTGACCAATGATTGTGATGGTACCAAATGTGACTGGTCACTACTCAGTAGCTAATTCTTTCTATCAAACTTAATTATTCTTCTTGATCATTTCTTGACTCTATATATAATATTTTCTTGCTATACTAATTACAAATTATTTCTAACATAATATTCTATCTAATTTACTCAAGAACAAGTAGAATTTCAAAAAAATAATTATAAAAAATATTAAATATATAATAATTAAGAATTAAAATTAGTAAAATATTAAGATATTCAAAGCTAAAGT